CGCCGCGCCGCCGCCATCTCCTTCCAAATTCGCTCGCGCCTTTCCTTCTCCGGTGAAATCAATAGAGGGGAAATGATCTTCGGAATCCCCTCTATCTTTTCTCTTATGGAATCGTCGGCTAATTTCGTTTGGAAATTCGCGGATTCGAGTTCGATTCAGATCGATCTCTCTCCTCTGAACCCTAGACCTTCCTTCGCCGTCGCCGGTCACCGTGGGCCTCCGACGCTGCCTTCCAACCCCTTTAAAAGGACCCCCAAGTCCGCCGCTACCCGTCGCCACCCTTGCCTTCGTCTCTCGTCGTCCGTAGCGCCCTAGCCCCGTGAGACCTCGCGCCGCCGTCGTCGCCGCCGCTCCAGCCGTGCGCCGCCGTCGCTCCAGTCGTCGTCGTCGCTCGGGAAGGTCGCCATCGTGGTCGCCGTCGCGTCGCCGTCCTCGTCCGCCCCTCCGCCGTTGCTGTCGACCGCCGGAACACCGCCGTCGTCGTCAAGCCGAAGGTCGCCGCCGCTTCTTCCTCGACGCCGTCGCCGTCCGTTGATCTTCCGTCGCCGTTTTGGTCACCGGTGAGTTTGCCGTGCCGTCCGCTACCCGTAGGTGCTCTCCGTTCGCGCCGCCACGCCGTCGTTCGCCGGTGAGCATGCGCGCCCGAGCCGCCGCCGGTGGTGACGTCGTCGCTGACGTCATCGTCGTCGTCTCTCGTGGTCTGGCCGTGGACCGTTCGATCTCGGCCGTCCGTTTTGGATAGGATCGATCTCGGCCGTTCGTTTCCGTGAGCCGCCGCCGTGCACCCGGTCCACCGCAAACCCTAGCCGCTGACGCAATAATTCCTTTTTCCTGTTCAAAAATAATTCATTATTGCGTCATAATTCAATTAAAATCCATATAAGTGTTTTAATCTGATTTAATCTTTAAAAATTCATAACTAATTCATCTTAGCTCGGATTTAGTTGGTTCAAGTCTCTAAATTTTTCTAAAATTGAGATCTACATGTTAAAAATATCCACATGTACTGCTCATGCTTGTTATTGTGCTGTTTTGGTGATTTTGCTCCATTCTGTTTAGATTCCGATGTTTCCGGAGAGTCCGTTTTCGCAGGAGAAGAATTTGAAGAGTTCCAAGGCCAGCAAGGCAAGTCACACAGATCCCAAACAACCCTTTGAGCATGTTGATCCCGTTTAAAGCTACTGTTTCTATTCAACTATTGCATTTATTTTTGAATGTCATTGGGTGGAATTAACCTATTGTTTGTTATAGCCCTTTTTGTTCTTGATTACTTTACTCCTTGATACCTTGGGTGATTATAACTTGACTAGTTGGGCTATATATATTGGTTCAGCTAGATATTAGATATGATTGCTTAGCCATGCCTAGAAACATTAGCACACTATTGGGATAACTTATGATTCACTATTATTTAATGATGGCTTAATGATAGTTCACGATGGTCAATCGTGATTGGTTAATTAATTATTTGCCAACTAAAACTTGATAATGGTGGGTTGTGAGCACATGGTTTTGAGAGTCGTGCTCATGACAATTAAGGACCGGTTCACGAGTTTCGGTTGTGAAACATTAACCGTGCCAACCACAAGCCAGCGTGGGCAACGGCTTTACCTTTTGTATAGCATGGTTCATTGCGGAGCACCAGACTGAGAAGTGGCGGAGATAAGCCCACGGGGGTCGCTGGGGAGTCCATGCCTTGTTTATAAGGGGGTGATTATGATCCAGGAATGGTGCGCTGTGGTGGATTGTGTTGTGCGAGGGGTACTATCACAGCTCCTTTCCGAGGTACCGTGGTGGTATTGAGGCACATGGTGACATGATGTGGGGCTGTGTCTTGTGGGTACAGTGGTACACCTCTGATCAGAGTAAAACTATTCGAATAGCCGTGCCCGCGGTTATGGGCGGGTCTAACAATGTCTTTCGTGATTAGTTTCACACTTCTCATCATAATAAAAGATGCTATAACTGATAGTAATTTGATTAGCTCCTGGTTTGGAATGGTATATTCCTGGTTTGGAGATAGAACTGTGCAGCCGGGATGGTTGTTCAGAATGGTTGGGCCTATGCAACAGGGTATGTTGTATAGCGTTGGATTAATATTGTTTAATTATCACTTAACTGTTTTATTAAATTCTGAAATGTTTATTAAATGCTGTTTATGCAAATGAAACCCTACTATGCCATCCTTTGTTATCCTGAGCACTTGCATATTTGCTGCGTGGCTTGCTAAGTATGTCATATACTCACCTTGCAATCATTCATCAGAGGAAGAGTTCTACAGTGATGCTGATGGTGTGGAGGATTAGGTGTAGCCTTGGTCAAGCTGCCTGTGGAGTGGAGTCGTCTGCGCCGTTTATCTTATTTTCCGCTGCTTAGATCTTTATTGATTGAGAGGAACTATCTACCTCTGTAATGACATTTTATTCGCTTATTAATTAGAGTAATAATTGTACTCTATTATCAATTTGTTATTGTGTGCCTCGGCTGATTCCTGGACGAGGGTTCACACACATGTAAGCGTTTGGAATTTTGGATAGAAATTCCGGGCGTGACAGCTAAGGAAATTCATCATGGAGTCCATAGATGGAGAGATTCCTACTTGGATAGGACTGGGTTGTCACTGTATCGTGTAGGGTCCGATGTCTCCGAGTCCTACTTGGAGACCACCTGATCTGCGGTATAAAAGGTACCCCCCGGGAGAACCTAAGGCATCGAATCTCAGAACTAAGACCACCACAGCTTATGAAGACGGAGCCTACAGGAGCCAAGTCGCCGGGTGATTTAGTCGAACCAACTCAACTACGATCTCGTCGGTATCATCGAGTTCTGTTATTCCCTTTGTAACTTGTGGTTTCCATTATATAATCCCATACCAACTGGATTAGGGCTATTACCTATAAAGGGGCCTGAATCAGTATAATCTTTGTCTTCTGTTTCCTTGATGTCGTACTACGTAGATCCTCGTACCAGCGTACCCCAGTACCCTCTATATCCGGTCTACGGGTATCCCCCGTCGACAATTGTGCCGATGCATTATTTATCACAAAATTTATTTTTAGATAAATAAATAAAAAATATGTATTTACTTTTTAAAAGAAAGTTATTAAAAATGAGGAGCATTCATACAAAGTTAGGACTACCAATGCTCACAATATGTTTTTTATGAATGCTGCTGATCAAAAATATCCGTTGTCCTATTAAAATTTCAAATATAAAATTTAATTTATTACATTTGTTTATTTTTCATAATTTATGTCAAAATTTTGTACACTAATTATTTAGTCTCATTAGTTTCATAAAATGCACATACTATGCACTTGAACAAAAATTTCAATCGTTTTTCAAGCATATATTCAAACCTAAAGCATCAAGAGTAAAAATGACATTTGCAACCAAACGTAATAGTGAAATGATGGAAAATGTAACGGTAGGGGCATGGAAGGGATCAAGTTGAAATTTCAGGGATATAGAAGGGATCAGGTAAATTTCAGGGGTATGAAAGAGATTGAGTGAATTTTTAGGGGTATACAGGGAATTTCTCATAATATGAATGATATATTGGAGTAGGAAGATAGATACAGAATGATCTATTTTGGATGACTATTCAGACCAAGATATGGAGTACCGATACTCTAGTGTGTGATATGGAGGGTAAACAAAGGAAAATAGTATAATTATAAACAGTGTTCCTTGTTATGAAATCTATCTTATTGTGGATGAATTAAATTATGAATGCGAAGCTTACTACAGAAGAAAGCTTACGCCAGAAGCCAACTTACAGAGGAAGCCAGCTTACGGCGCAAGCCAGCTTACAGGAGAAGCCCGCTTACGGCGTAAGCCGGCTTACAACGCAAGCCAGAAGGTCCAAGGCTTACGACGTAAGTCTCCACCCTCCTCCGCCTATAAATAGGGCCCAGAAGGTCCAAGGCGAGGACAACCGATCTTCGGTCTCCTGCTTCTCCTCTTATAGCTTGTACTCAAATCCAGAAGAAATAAAGCTTCCACTCACTCATACTTTCTATGTTCAACAACTCTGTGTTTGGTTTGCTTGTGTGCTGATCAGTAGAATAGACTGGTTTCTCAACACGTTATCAGCACGAGACTCTACCGAGCTAAAAAGGTAAACAGGTGAGAAATCAGTTTCTACTGATCATCTTGCTCTTTATATGCAAATCATTCTTCTGCTATAGTTGAAATAAGCAGAAGAGCATGGTACCTGAAGTACCATCCCCCGATATTATCTCAACGATACACAATAACATCATGGCGGCTCTGCCGCCATTATCGTTGAATTGCTACAGTTGATACATCCTCTCAGCAACGCCCGGTAACATGATGGCAGCTCTGCCGCCATTACCGTCCAAAGGCTTGAGATGGTACATCCCCTTAGCACTATTTGATAACACAATGGTGGCTCTGCCGCCGTTATCGTCCAAATGGTAGGGGCGATGTAGGTGCCTGAAGCACCGGCATGGCAACTTGGACGGCTCCGCGGCCGTTGCCACCAAATATCGGAGGCAAACGAACCTTCTGCACGACCCTGAAGTGTCGTTTTGGATGTCCTTTGTTTTATGGACATCACCCATATGGGCCCTTGATGCCACTAAGGTCGGCTCTGCCACCATGAAGCATGGGCTCATAGTGGGGAAGTGCTACATGGTTTATCTTACTTTTTACAGTCTGCACAATATACATGAAGTTGTGCCCATGTATACTCTTCGTTTTGTTTTACATGCTTACTTTGTTGTTTGCATGTCTTTCATAACATTTATTTTATTGTTATGAAATTGATTTCCTAGCATGATTGATAATAGTTAATCAAGCAATATGTAATCCTGAAGATTACTTAAGTTAATTTGCTAGGAAAGATTCTATGGGAAACTGTGTGATAATCCTAAAGATTACACACACTAGTAATCCTGAAGATTACGCATGACCAATTCATGTCGACCCTGCACATCGTATTTACCAGTCGTAAATACCAAATTATGTTGCAGAACATGTCGGACATAACAAAGAAGGAATTCGCCGAGCTTGCCTTGGATGGTAGTAACTACCTCACTTGGGCATTGGACGTTGAGATTAAACTCGACTCCATTGGTCTCGATCATACTATTGTGCTGCCCGAACTTGGCACTGTGGAGTCTACGAAGGCCGAGAAAGCAAAGGCATTGCATTTCTTGCGCCACCATCTCCACCCAGACCTGAAGTCTGAGTATATGACCGAGAAAAATCCACTGGTATTATGGCAATCCCTGAAGGATCGCTTTGACCAGCAAGGGTCAATTGTGCTCCCACAGGTACAACATGACTGGATCACCCTACACTTCCAAGACTACAAGTCTACGGCGGCGTATAACTCTGCCCCCCATAGGATCATTTCTCAGTTGCGTTTTTGTGGCCAGAAGATCACTGACGCTGAGATGATCGAGAAAACCTTATCTACCTTTCATCCCAACAACATAGTGCTGCAACAGCAATACAGGAACTCAAAGTACCCGAAGTACTCTGATCTTATCTCAGTCCTGTTAGTTGCAGAAAGGCAGAATGAAGTTCTTCTAAAGAATCATTCTGCTAGACCCACTGGGTCTATGGCAGTGCCTGAAGCACACGCCAATGTTGTTGGAAACTCGCGTGGCCGTAAAAGAGGCCATGGTGAGAAGAAAGGGAAAGGTAAGGGAAGTATCAAATTCAAGGGCAAGAGCAAGGGTAAACCCAGAGGTAAAGGCGAACTCAAGAAGGTTACAGGTGAATCATCTGGGGAAAAGCAGGATAACTGCTATAGATGTGGAGGCAGAGGGCATTGGTCCCGTAACTGCCATGTCCCCAAGCACCTGGTTGAGCTCTACCAACAAAGCATGAATGAGAAAAAGAGCCAACATGAGTCCCACTTCACCATTGAGCCTGAAGCTCAGATTGAAAAGCATGATGACATGCTTATCAATGTTAAGGATGGTGGGGACGTCCGTATGGACGATGATTGGAACAACCTTCTTGAAAAAGATGATAACATATTTGGAGACCTGAAGTAATCTCCTATATGTCAGTCATATGCAGTGTTCCGCATGAGTAGCACATGTAGAACTTTGGTCATAAATAATGCTCCTGAAGAGCAAGCTTAGTATTTTACTGGGCCTGAAGTCCTTGTAATGTTTCCCTTAATAGAATCAATTTACTCCATGTTTAATTTCATTTATGTTTATGTTCTATAAACAGACCTTATGGGAATCCCATGGCAGAAGAGGATATATGTCTAGTAGACAATGCCACCACTAACACAATCTTAAGGGAAACTATGTATTTCCACACCTTAACTAAGAAAACTAGAAATATTATGACCATTGCCGGAAGCAATGCTCATATAGTAGGCACCGGAAGTGCTACTCTAGTTCTCCCTATGGGTACCCATATCTTTGTAAAGGATGCTCTATTGGATCCTGATTCAAAGCGTACCCTCTTAAGCTTTAAAGATATCCGTGCAAACGGTTTCCATATAGAAACCGAGATTGAGCAAGATGCTGAATATCTGCTCATAAGAAAAATAGATGGATATCAAAAGCAAGTGGTGGAAAGGCTCCCTTCATTGCCATCGGGTTTGTACTACACGTACATAAAACCCACTGAGGAATATGTGGCGATGAAGACCATATTTAGAAACCCAGAGTCATTTAGAGTTTGGTATGACAGGCTGGGTCATCCTGGGTTGGGTATGATGAGGAGAATCATCAGCAATTCTGCTGGCCACAATGTTGAAACTAATGACTTCCCTAATCCTGAAGATTTTATTTGCCCTGCTTGTGCAAAAGGGAAGTTGATCATTAGGCCATCCCTCCTGAAGATTAGGGATGAGTCACCTGTTTTCCTGGTAAGAATACAAGGTGACATATGTGGACCTATCCAGCCCCTGTCGGGCCCGGTTAGGTATTTCGTGGTACTGATTGATGCTTCTACCAGGTGGACCATGTGGACCTGTTGTCCACAAGGAACCATGCTTTTCAAAGCTAATTGCCCAAATCATCAAGCTAAAAGCTTGCTTCCCTGATAGCCGCGTACAATCCATTCGAATGGATAATGCTGGTGAGTTCAGGTCGAAGGCTTTTGATGATTATTGTTTAGCCATGGCCATGGGCATTAAGGTAGAATATTCAGTACCACATGTCCACACTCAAAATGGCCTAGCTGAATCCTTGATCAAGAGGATCAAGTTGATTGCACAGCCACTGTTGCAGGATTGTAGGTTGCCAACCAGTTGTTGGGGCCATGCTGTGTTGCACGCAGCAACACTAATCCAACTCAGGCCAACTGCATATCATAGTACATCCCCCCTTCAACTAGTGCGTGGAAAAGAACCAAGTATTTCCCATTTGCGTAATCCCACCACCACAGCGTACTTCTATGGGACCCCACCAGAAGTTGGGGATATACGTTGGTTATGAGACTTTGTCCATAATCAAGTATCTTGAGCGTATGACTGGGGATCTTCATATGGCTCGGTACGCTGATTGTATCTTTGATGAGGACTATTTTCCCAGCATTAGGGGGAGAAAGGCATCCAGAAGAATGCCGAGATATAATATGGAATGCAACTGGGATGCAGTCCTTAGATCCACGCACTAGTGAAGCTGAACTAGAAGTTCAGAGAATCATAAATTTGCAAAATATTGTAAATAAGTTGCCAGATGCCTTCACTGATTACAAGGGAGTGACAAGGTCGCATATACCTACAGTAAATGCGCCGGAAAGAGTAGAGGTAACCCAGAAGGTTACTGACTCTGCTCTTACCCCCCATCCTAGGAAGATGGGGAGACCTCCAGTTGAAGAAGCTCAACCTGAAGTTGAGAAAGCCCCAGAAGAGGCAACTCAACCTGAAGTTGAGATGGTCCCAGAAGGACACCATCCTAAAGATGGAGAACCCAGTGCCTTACGCGCGTACCTTGGCTCTGGAAGATCGGAACACTCCAACTCGGTCGTTATGGGAAATCACGATGAGCTGGAGGAAATAAATGAGGAGATTTCCACTAATTGTTCTGATACAGGAGAGTTACATCATAGAAAGACCACTATCGTCGACATTCACTTTGCCTCAAAGATTGTTGTCATAATGGATCCAGATCCAGAACCAAAGTCCATGATTGAGTGCCAGAAGCGCTCAGATTGGGACAAATGGAAAGCAGCAATAGAGGCAAAGATGCGGTCGCTTTATAAAAGAGAGGTTTTTGGGCCTGCAGTCCCAACACCTCCAAGAATCATCCCTGTAGGATGCAAATGGGTCTTCCTCCGGAAGAGGAATGGCCAGGTGGTGAGGTATAAAGCAAGGCTAGTGGCACAATGGTCCATGCAGAGACCCGGTATTGACTATGATGAAACTTACTCTCCTGTGATGAGTGGAATCACGTTCCGATACTTGATCTCAATGGCAACTAATATGAACTTAGATATGCAGTTGATGGATGTAGTGACCGCATACTTGTATGGGTCACTAGATTCGGAAATTTATATGAGGGTCCCTGAAGGACTCAAGATTCCGAATCCGAAAGGAAATCGCAACATGTATAGTGTTCGCCTGCAGCGATCATTATATGGATTGAAACAATCCGGAAGGATGTGGTTCAATCGATTAAGTAACTATCTCCTGAAGAGAGGTTACTTAAACAATGATGATTGTCCCTGTGTGTTTATAAAATCCCTGAGATGAAGGACTTGGGGAAAACCAAGTTCTGCTTGGGCCTGCAGCTCGAGCACCTCCCTGAAGGAGTGTTCATGTACCAGTCTACCTATACCAAGAGGGTCCTTGGTAAGTTTAATATGGATAAATGTCATCCTTTGAAAACCCCCATGGTGGTCTGATCCCTGGAAGCGGATAAGGACCCATTTAAACCCAAGAAAGATGATGAGGAAATGTTGGGACCTGAAGTTCCCTACTTAAGCGCCATTGGAGCACTAATGTATCTAGCCTATTGCACAAGACCTGATATTGCTTTCGCACTTAATCTATTGGCTAGATATAGTGCAACCCCAACCAGAAGACATTGGGTTGGCGTTAAAACTATCCTCAGGTACCTTCGAGGTACTCAAGATCTTGGGTTGTGGTTCCCGAAGAACCAAGATCCATCCATGGTGGGATATGTGGATGCTGGCTATATGTCTGATCCTCATAATGCCATATCCCAGACTGGGTTTATATTTCTTTGTGGTAATACTGCCATTTCCTGGCGGTCTGTAAAGCAAACCCTGGTTGCAACGTCAACCAACCACTCAGAAATAATTGCTCTATATGAGGCCACACGAGAATGTGTGTGGCTTAGGCGGATGATCGGTCACATCCAGAAGTCATGTGGCCTAAACATTGATAACACCCCCACCATTATCTATGAGGATAACGCTGCTTGTGTTGCACAAATACATATGGGCTATGTGAAAAGCAATTTCACAAAGCATATTGTTCCCAAATTCTTTTATCCCCACGAGCTCCAGAAGAGCGGGGAAATAAATGTCCTGCAAACTAAGTCATGTGAAAATCTCGCAGATTTATTTACGAAGTCTCTGCCAGCCTCAAGTTTCCACAGATGTGTTCGTGGCATTGGCATGAGACGACTTAGTGAATTGCAAGGATCAGGGGGAGCAAAGAATAGCCCATGATTGTGATCCTGAAGAATCACAAACAAGTCGTGAAGACTTGATCAACTGTTGTACTCTTTTTCCCTTGGTGAGTTTTTTTCCCCATTGGGTTTTTCTCACGCAAGGTTTTTAACGAGGCAACAGGTGCAACACAATATTCAAAGTGCCATGTACTCTTTTCTCCTACCATTTTTTCCCACTGGGTTTTTGGGAGGAGTTTTTGATGAGGCATGCGCATAATTCAAACTCGTCTAAGGGGGAGTGTTATGAAATCTATCTTATTGTAGACGAATTAAATTATGAATGGGAAACTTACTACAGAAGAAAGCTTACGCTGTAAGCTGGAAGCCAGCTTACGGCGCAAGCCAGCTTACAGGAGAAGCCAGCTTACAGAGGAAGCCCGCTTACGGCGTAAGCCGGCTTACGACGTAAGCCAGAAGGTCCAAGGCTTACGACGTAAGCCTCCACCCTCCTCTGCCTAAAAATAGGGCCCAGAAGGTCCAAGGCGAGGACAACCGATCTTCGGTCTCCTACTTCTTCTCTTGTAGCTTGTACTCAAATCCAGAAGAAATAAAGCTTCCACTCGCTCATACTTTCTGTGTTCCACAACTCTGTGTTTGGTTTGCTTGTGTGCTGATCAGTAGAATAGACTGGTTTCTCAACATTCTTCACAAATCCAGTAAAAATCATGTGACTTGCTAACTGGAGTATTCCTCAGCCGTAGGCGCAGGGCAGGGGAGTGGGGCTGTGGGGGCAGGTAGTGGGGCTCCAGTTCTCCACCAGCACAAGGGTCCAAGGCACGCTGAGTCAGACCCACTTGGGCGGGGCGGGGCGCGGCGCGGCGGTTTTGGTTGCTGCCCGACACGCGAATCCACGAATGCATCCCATCCATCCCCACCAGCACACGGAAAAGCAGGGTTGAGGTAGGGGTAGGACAGAAGCGGCAACCACGCGACGTGCGGACGCGGCGCGGCGCGGCACGCCCACCCAGAAATTCCCCGAGCCGTGCCGTCCAACACCACTCATCCGATCCGACGGCCCGCGGGAGCCCGACCGGCCGCGGAGACACGGAGCCGCCCCCGCGCACCACCCCCAGGCCCCAGGACCTTGGAACTTCCTCCTCATTCACTCCCCGTCGCACCATGCTCTCCGTTAACCATAGTCCCTCTAACCACGGTTAGTTGCTCTCCGAGTCACTCTCCACCGATCCCAGGGTTCTTCTACCTCTGCCTGTCTATATAGCTCCCTCCCCGGCTTCTCATCCGCCGTTCCCTCCCCCTCGCTCTCCCTGCTCCGGTATAGCTAGTTGAGCTCTGATCGATCAGGTTGCATGAGACGGAGAAGCTGAGTGAGGCTAGGGTGGTTGGTTGTGATCATCACCATGAGCTGCAACGGTTGCCGGGTGCTGCGGAAGGGGTGCAGTGACGGCTGCGTGCTGCGGCCATGCCTGCAGTGGATCGACGCCGCCGACGCGCAGGGCCACGCCACCGTCTTCGTCGCCAAGTTCTTCGGCCGCGCCGGACTCCTCTCCTTCATCTCCGCTGTCCCCGAGGCGCAGCGACCTGGTATGTAGAATACAATCCATCACGGCTCTGCACGTGTACCGTACATATTCCTGTACGAAGCAGCTGACCATATGTCGTTGGTTGCGCGCAGCGTTGTTCCAGTCGCTGCTGTACGAAGCAGCGGGGCGAACCATCAATCCGGTGCACGGCGCGGTGGGCCTCCTCTGGACGGGGAACTGGCCCCTCTGCCAGGCCGCTGTCGAGACCGTGCTGCGTGGAGGCGCCATCGGCCCTCTGCCGGAGCTCGGCGGGGCCTGCGGCGGCGCTGGCGGGGACCTCTACGGCGCCGCCAAGCGCAACGGCGGCTGGTCTACCTTCTCCACTGCGAAGCGGGTGAGGAAGGCCGAGGTACCTGAAGCCCCGTCGTGCGACCTAGGCCTGTGCCTCAGCCCCGGCTCTCCGCCGGCGGTGGGGGAGAGGAAACCAGCACTGCGGCCGGGGACGCCGTCAATGAGCTCCGATGAGTCCGGCACCACAACCGGAGGCGAAAGGGATCCTGTGCTGCTCAACCTTTTTGTCTGAGGCCGGTCGTCAAGCTAGCTAATACTAATCCTTGCTTGACCTCCGTCTACTGGATCCCGGCGGCGAAGCAGTAGTAATTTTTTCTCGCCGGCGAGCCTAGTTTATTGGCATTTTTTTTTCTTTCCCTTTCTTTTAGGAGTACTAGTCTACGAGTCTTGGTTTTTGCCGTGTACGTAGAAAAGAAATTACCGGCCGGCCTGGACGCCCCGTTTGCGTGGGCGAGCAACTTTTTACCCTTTTTGTTCGTTTAAATTATATAAATAATCCTTCATTAAGCTATATAGACATAGGTTGCGTTCGTTCATTGGAGACAGCGGAGATTGTTACTCGTTTTCCGCGCGCACGCTTTTCAAATTACTAAACGGTGTGTTTTTTATAAAAATTTTCTATAGAAAAGTTGTTTTAAAAATTATATTAATTCATTTTTGAAGTTTAAAATAGTTAATACTTAATTAATCATGAGCTAATAACTTAACTCGTTTTGCGTATCTTTCCCATCCTCTCTCCCTCGAACACACCCATACTCATCTTGTATTGATCCCTATGACTTGTTATGAGAACGATTGGAGCTGCAGGCACAGAGTCTAGATTTCCAAATGAAAGGGCTCTTCTACAGAAGTTTTGGAGAAAAATAAATTGTTCTCTTCCTTCATGTCAATGTTCTTCTCACGGGGTGTGTTTTGCTGGTGAAAGAGTGCAAGTCGTATAGGCGGATTTGGGGGTAGGGAGCAAAGGCGCCGCGTCATGGGGCTACGGAGTTGACGAGGTATTGCCGCCTCGAGGATAGGAGGGCGCTGAGGGTGAGAGAGAAAGAGAGAGGAGAGCCCACACAGTGGCCGACACGGATGCTCCAAAAGTCCTCATAGTTGTACCGCTTGTACGATGGACAAGACCGGGCACGTCACACGATGCAGCACACACGACCATGCTGTGGCTACAAGTTCTACGCACGCTCTAGTGTACCGTGGGGTGAAGTTTTACTCTCTCCATCCATAATATAAAAAATTTTAGATGAATGTGACACATTCTAACTAATACAATAAATCTGGACAAATTATATATCATATATGTCAAAATTTATTGAACTAAGATGTATCGTATCCATCCAAAATCCCATATATTATTGGACGGGGAGAGTATCTTCGAAAAAACTGGCTTTTGTTTTTTACACCTTTGCATGGCAATTTCAGTGCAGTTGTTAATTCTATTTTCAAATTATGTCATGTACAAGTTGCTCATAGTGCTGATTCCTTAGCCTAAGGGATATACTCCCTCCATCTACTTTTGATAGTTATATTTCATCTTGATACATAGACCAAGGATAAGTAATTCTATTTATTATCCATTTAAACATGCTACTAGTCATTCCTCGTAAACAATCGATTCATTAATATTTACATTTCTCGATGTCCATGTAGCTAATCTTGTGTGGAAGAATGGAGAGACATGCATTAAATCCGAGAAAGCCATTAAGAGGATAGGTTGTCGGATTGAAATATGCCTATCAAAAAGAAAATTTTTAGGTTTGGAAATATGACTATCCAAAATAGATGGAGAGAGTATTAGTATACTTCATCCGTCCCAAAATAAGTTAATTACCCATCTCACAAACATCAATACAAAATTTTAAAAATATAATATCCATACTTTGTCAAATCCTAATACAACTATTTCTCACTTTATCTACTTTCAATACAATTATTCTTTACTTTTAGAAACTCCGATGCAATGATCACTCTAAAACTGAACTTATTTTAGATAAATAAAAAGAGTTAAAAACAAACCCTATATACTTATATAGTTCATCCCCACTAAGTGTAGTTAATATTATTTATCTCTTCTCTCGTTAAGCCACATCACCCTAATTATTTCTAACCTTTGGATGATAGATCTATGGCTCAAATTATCTCTTCTTAATTTCTTCTCTCGTAAAATCATGCAATCTCAATTTTTTTAGGCTCAAAATTGTATCAATTTGTTTTAGTTTTGATAATCTTACTACATCTTATTTGTACATATTATGTAACATAATTTTCCATAGCAACGCGGCAGAGTATTTACTAGTTATATAGGATTTTAGCATATCATCCGCCAATGAGCCCAGAACAATCGTGCAAGGTTACGGGATGTGGATCTGCCATCGTCATGAATCTATTGATTGGCACACTAACCAGATAGTTGCTTTGGTTTAACATTTGTTATTCGGTGAGCATTGGTAGAGAAACCATCTTTGGTCGGTCGACCCAAATCTACAATAGTCCCGGTTCGATTAAAAACTGAGACTAAAAAGTCCCGGTTGTTGTTACCAACCGGGACTAAACATTATCTTTAGTCTCTGTTGGTAACTCCAACCGAGACTAAAGTTCATCTTTAGTCCCAGTTAATTCCATGTCAGGCCGTGTCAGGGCCCTAGGATTTTTAGTCCCGGTTAGTAACACCTAACGGGACTAAAAACTTATTTTTAGTTCCGGTTGATGTTACTAACCAGGAATAAAAATCAAAAAGCACTATATAATCCCTAGTACCTATACTCTTTTTCCGTCCACACAACAAACTCCTCCCTCTATCTCTTTTTTCCTGTCTAATTTCTTATGTCTTTCCTTATCTCTAACTCTGGCTTTTCTTTCCTTTTTTTCCTTCAATTCACAGCGAAGAAGACGACTGGCACGAGGAGAACGGGCCGGCCGGGCGGCGGCCTGCGTGGCGGCGCCAGGGTGGCGTGGCGGCAGCCGGCGCGGCGGCGCGGGGGGCCGCGCGGAGGCGGCCTGCGCGCGCGGCGGCGTGGGGGGCCGCTCGGCGACGGCCGGCCGGCAAACTGCACCAGCTAGAACGCCCGCCCTGTCCTCCGATCCTCCTTCTGCATATGTAAATCAACACATCTCTATATAGTATTGTGTGGCCTCTGTTGTATGCCTGCCCACCAAACGAATTGTGTCTCTAACTCGTGAGATTGCTGTCCTCGTTTGGTCGTATTACATTTGAATTAAGCTTTAAACTTGTGATGTAATTTTTTTAAGAGTTTGTGATGTATTTGGAGATGATCTATTTGAGGATTTGGAGATGTTATGTGATATGTGATGATTTAGATTTGGGATTTCTTGGTATGATTTGAGGATGGTGTGAAATCAATATTGAATGTTAAAAACAATGAAAAAGAAATAAAGAAAAAAGATCTTTAGTGCCGGCTGATAACACCAACCGGAACTAAAGATGGATGTTTAGTCCCGGTTATTTGAACCAGGACTAAAGATAGCGATCTTTAGTCCCAGATTCGTAGTCCCGGTACAGGGGGTTACGAACCGGGACTAAAAAGCACTTCTCCACCAGTGGAGATTATGCTCTATTGGAACCTAGAAATTTTGGAAATCTTGTTTATTATAGGATTAAGGGACTACTCCGTAGTTGTGCTACTTTGTTTTCGATATTAAGGTAACCAAAAACAATAAATAGTGTAGACTGTGAAAGTTGTTCGATATTTGGGGCTTGTTTAGATTGTAGCCAAAATAAACCTTACCAAATTTTGTTATTACCAAAATTTTAACAATTTGGCAATATTGCTAAGTTTTGTCAGGATTTATTATTTATTTTTTAGAGTTTGGTAAGAAACTAAATGGATGCACATATTTGACAACTTTGAAAAAAAAAATATGGTTTGAAATGGCATTAATCTAAACAAGTGCTTAAACAAGTGCTTGGTTTTGATTTCGTGGAATCTTCCAGATGGGAAAGTTGAAGGGAAACATTACCGTTTGACCCTGTAAAAGGCAAGGAGAAAAATCTTGCATGGTGTTGCACGCATATTCTGCTATAAATTATTCCTGAATATGCAGTAGTATATCTCTCTTAACCACTAATGTTGATCCTTTTATCTTCTCTATCGATCAATAAGGCAAATATTTTGCCTTAATTTCAATTTTCTTAAAAAACTAATGTTAGAAAAAAGAAAGTTGTTTGCATCCGAATCTCTACATCTATGTTTACGCAGACATAAAGGCCAATGTTGATTTGTGTTTCCATAAACATTTTTTAGTTATTTATACATGTATCTAGATTATAGATAATTTAAATTAGTAGTTGAATACAAGTGCTTTGCTACAGATAATAAAACAACTTTATCTGTCTAAAAACACAACTACCTATGCCCTTGTCTTTAACAAAAGACTAAATTTGGGATGATAAATGTTTGTGGTTGATTGAGATGAGAACATAGGTGGAGAAATGGTTGTATTTTTTAGACAAATTTAAATTCTAGAAGTAGTTATATTCTAAAATAGATGGAGTATATTATAATATTACCTAAATAAATTATAAATATATTTTCTATAAAATATATTATCTATCATGCTTGTCAGTGTCAAGCGTAATGCATACCATACATGGATTCATGGAATATGACAATACCATATACCCGATTGTATACGAGAAGGTGTCTTTGATTAATGAAATATGGCGGATAAATAATAAATTAGCTACTCGGAATAGAAGGTGTTAGAGTCTAAGTCGGAGAAGATAAGATCTCCTTGCCCGTATTCTGTTTTATCTCTCCGATTCTCTGAGTTCTACTTGAAGAAGAAGAGGATCTACACTATATATACCTATGTTTTAAATAGCGGGTTAAGGCATTTAGCGGTTAGCGCTTCTCAAACAGCTATAACAGCAGTTATGGCGGTCTAAATGGAGTTATAGTGCCTAAATTGTACATGAGATCAAATAGTTAGAACCCTTATCAAACCACTATAGCCGGAGATAGCGGCAGCTATAGTGGGAGATTTAAAACTATGATATATACAAGGCCCCCGTGTGTTCAGGGAGGGGCATCGAGTTACAAGTCATAGCCAAAGCCATATTAAGAAACAATTTGGAGGAAGCCAGAAACTGTATTCGCTGAATAGAACTCGTCGGACCATTCTCGACAGCTTCTAATTGGTGAATTAGACTAGTTTTCCTATTTCCCATTGTAATCTTTGTGACATCCTATCCATAAATCCAGATAAACTAGACTAGGGTTATTACTCTCCTTTTGGGCCCGAACCAGTATAAACCTTTGTCTCTTGCCTGCTTGATCTGATCTTGTGTATACCATGGTTCCAATAATCTTTATACTTTACAAATTAATCTCGTCTTCGGGTATAGCCCGTCGACAATGCTGCTATAGGGAATGTTCATCTTAATTTAACTTTAGATGTGACTATCCATTTAGATTTAATTTATTTTTTATACTAAGGAGTTTGAGGGATAATTTATAAAAGTACAACGGAGATAGGTGGGATGACAGATTTACTG